ATAATATGTCAGCAATGTTTCTTTCATCTTCAATATTAAAATATCTACACAAAAATTCACCAATTTTGGTAACTTTTTAATGCACACTGATATAACAGCTGTTTCTATAAAAGCTGACAAAATTGTTTCCAAGGAAGCTAAAGACAATAAGTGCTACTAGAATCACCTCACAGAAAAAGCCAAACAGACTTTTTGGCCAACCCCCAAAAATGGATTAATAAATATTAAAAATTTTCTCAGTTGTGTTTTCTAATATGAAAACTATCTCTAGGTTATAGTTCACATAAACAAAAGCTCTTCAGAATCCCTCAGTAATTTACAAAACTTTGAAGACGCCCTGAAACCAAAACGTGGAAGAACCCCACCAGAGGCCTCACGGAAGGGAGCACTCAGCACGGTGATCCCCGCTGACACGGGGGCTGCCCCTTGGCGCTCACCTCCTTGCTCTGGACTCGTGAAAAAGGCACCTCGCTTTGCCCAACCTCTGCCCCCGCCCTGTGGGCCCGGTTCCCGCCAGCCCGCACACTGCAGTCTCTCCCGTGTCTGGGGCAGGAAGCAGTGATGGAAAATCTGTGCCCTGACTCCAGTGGTCACGGGCCTCGGAAAAGAGGCAGTTAAGTCGAGTTCTCGATATTTTTCCATTATGAAGCTGCCATTTTATTTTCACAGATCTGATAAGCTCACTTAGTTATGACATAAGGTTTTAATGAAGCTGTCGACTTGGTCCTCAGAATCAGGCAGGCTCCCCTGTTTCGTAGCTTATGACTTTGGGCAAGTCGTTTTCATGTCTCTGAGCCAATGTTTCCCGTGGACCAGGTAATACTAAGTGAGCAGTAGGTTTCATGGTGTTAGTAGGAGTGCTAATAGGTTTTAATTCTTATTCTCGCTGTTCCTAGTGGGAACTCTCCCGGGCTGGGGAGTCCGAGGTGGCAGTTAGCTTGGCCGCCTGCTTGTAAACCACTGTAGCCCGAATGGCTGCTGACTCCCTTGAAAAACCTGCTCAGCCCAGTTGTTGGATATATTTGATTAAGAACATATTTTTATAATAAATCTCACCTTCCTTCACACGCACACACAGATTGTGCACCACGGCAAGGTGATTTGGCGTAAGATCAGTCATACTTTTTAGATTATCAGCTAATTTCTACTTGGCTCTTTAGAAAGCTGATAAAGACTTTGATGTCACGCGAGCGAAAATGAACAGCCTTCAGTGAAAGGGTAGGTCCTTAGGGACTAGCTCTGTTCTTTTGAAGATATGTGTGCCATACTTTTAGATATGAGCACATAAATAAAGTCTAAATCATACCAGACCTTGTTCAGAATTGTCTTTTGTACTAAATCATTCTCTGTGTGCTAATTTTAAAGTGTAGCTTTCATCTTCCCTGGTTTTGGGAGGAAGTTCTTTCTCTACTGAAAGCAGCATTAGGAAGAGAGGACACGCCATTGCTTTCGGGGGGGTTTATTCCTTTTCCCCGTTTCACAGAGATGCCCTCTGGCCGTGGTGCTGGGGCTCCTGGAGGGCACGAGTGGTGTTACTGCAGGGGGCCGGGGGACTCGCGTGCTCAGGTAGCTTCTCCTCAGAGGACACTCAGAGTGTGCATGCTCTGGGGCAAGGCTTGAGGAGGAAACAGCTTTTTCAAAGGGGGGTCTTAAAACTTGAAGACAGCCTCGTATTGCAATAGTGTATACACCGTGAAGTTGTCTCTGGTGGGTCCCAGTGGTTACTCCTGCCTTTTTTGTTACTTGGCTCTCTCCCCACCTCCGGACTGAGCCCTGGGCCGTTCTCTCTCTACCCATTATCATTCCCGTTTACCCATCCATCTTCTGTCGCCCTCCTAGAGTGCACTCTGTCTTGCTCTCAGTTCTGAATGATTGTTTTGGGTATATTTGCTTCTTTTTCTCTTTCTCTGTGATATTTCAATCTTTCCTTAAAGACCACCTCCTGCTTTAACTATGACCAAGTGTCCATGACTTTCGGGTCTGAAATTTATGACATTTAGAAACTAGAAAGAAAATGGCAAGTAAAAGGGTGGACATTGGTTTAGAGGTCATTTACCTAAATTTCTGGGTGTGGTGAAAGCTTGCAAAGTGTTGGTTTCTCACTGAGCACTTTGCTTATGACCATGTTTATGAACGTGGATCCACACATAGCCACCGAGCGTCCACTCTCGTGCAGTCCCATTCTCCTAGTGCTCACCACCCTACCGGTATTTCCAGGCCGGGTGGGCACTGGGTTTGCCCCTATGGAATGTACATGATACTTGTGTTCAGCCAAGGGTGCCTCGGACTAACAAACCACCTCAAGTGCTTGAAATAAAACAAAACTCTGTGTTGGTAAAGCTATATGCTCATAGCACATTGGGGTTGCGAAGGTCACTTGGAGGTCATTTCATAGATGGGTGCCATTGTGGTTGAAGACTCGCTTGTTGGAGAGGAACCTGGAACAGAAGCCAGGTCCCTTCACCTGCAGCACTGTTTCTTCTGTGACGGGTCCAGTTTATTTGTGTGATGGGATCACTTACCGTGCCAATACGGTCTTCTCGTTTGTGTGAATGTAGTGCAGTTACTTCAGAATGAGTTGCTAGAAATAATTCTACTCTGAAAAATCCAGAGGTGTACTGTAAATAGGTCCCTGATGTAGAGGAGATTAGCAAATAAAAAAGGGTACTTTGAATCCAGTAGGGGAAGTAGGCCACGAACAGTATGCCATCACCCTTTTCGTGTAGTCATTGAGCGTTCTTAGTTTTGTTGGTAAGGGGGGGTCTTACTTTGGTGGTGATGGTGCTTAAAGTGCAGAGAAGTGTGTTTTGTGCAGGAGCGAAAGAAGGTCAGAATTCTGTTTTTAATCTTCACCTTTATCTGCGTATGTCCTCATGGAATTCCTATGGTGCATAACTGTGCCTGTGCCTGTGGAGGGGCTCGGTCCTGGGCTCCGGCCCCAGCAGATGCCGGTTCTGTGCCCTGTCCCTCCTGCGGTCTTTGCCCCCGGAGAGCCTCTGAGAGTGTCGGCGGCACTTACTCTGAGATCATCTACTACAAGTACCTCAAAGTATCCGAAATGCATAACAAATCTGCTTACTAATAAATCAGCAAGTGTTTACTGAGTGCTTAATGTGTTTTAGCTAGATGCACTAACTACAGCAAACAACATGAGTTTTGTTTGAAAAGAAAATATTCACATGTAATTAGGGCTTCATAAAAGTAAGTGTTGTGATGTTGCTTTTGGCTTTATTATTATTATTAAATAAGCATTAGTTTTTTTCTTCCAGAGAAAGAAAAAAATCAATAAAGAGAAAAATTTGTGCCCCTTTTGATGAAGTAATTCAGTGAACCTTTTATTTATGTATTGTAACCATATGTATGCAGCCACAAGTTTTTCTTCTCTTTTCTCCTTCCTACAGCCAAACAGCTTTGGGCAGAAGCATGCAACCTTTTTGCTATTAAGTTTCTCTGAAGTAAGGCCAGAAAGCTTTAAAAATATTTTGACCGAGATGGTTTAGGAGTGTGGTTATGTCTCAATTTGTTCTGACTGACTTGATTGAATAACATCTTGGATTGTCAAACAAGTGATGTAATGAGTATCTTCTCATTCTGCAGGATATTCTTAAGCTAACAAATGTATTTCCCACCTGGTATGATGGAGGGGCGCAGTTGCCCCACTCAGAACCCGGTCTCCTTGTCTCGTGCTTTTGCTGGGCTGTGTTGGATCCTTGTCTTTTCCTTTCTTCTGAGGAAGCTTGGACTTGCTGCCACCGCCACCGCCGCTGCCGCTGCTGCTGCTGTTGCTGCTGCTGCTTTTTTAGATTTTCAATTTTAAAAAATTAATTTTGTAAAAACTTGAAACAATCTCAAACTTAGAGAAAAATTGCAGGTACAGCACGGTTTTCTGTCTGGAAGTACTGGCAGCTAAGTTACCAACATGGTGCTTCACTGTCCTCAGATACAAGGACATTCTCCTGCGTAACTGCAGGATGTGTGTTAACAGCAGAAAGTTAGCCTTGCCCTCTTGTTTCCCTCAGTCCTCATACGGTGGGGTTGTGAGACTAGTGAGCTGGCAAAAAAGAAGATGTGAGTGCTGTGTTATGCAAAAACCGTCACAGTTTAGAGAAGGTCTAAGTGTGTTTCTGAAAAAAGACACAGGCTTGCTGTGAACTGTGTGACAAATTAAGAGACAGATGAAGATGAGTGTGATAATGGACTGCTTTTCCAGTCTTTGCCTGGGGACTCCTGAGCGTGTCTGCGTTCACTCTGGCGCTGAGTGTGCGGTCTCTTTTGTTGGCTGGTCACTGATGGTGACGGCCCTAGACTGTGCGGTCGGCTGTGGTGCCCCTTCTCCGAGTCCGCTGACTCGGACTTACGGGGCCACTTCCCGATGTGGCTTCCCAAGTTCCGTTACTCAGAGCCAGCCCGTGCAGGCATTTCAGTTCAGCGGAGCAGGTGCCCAGTGCAGGCCGCTGGCCCCTGGCCGCCGTCCCCGGTGCCCTGAGGAGGGCCTCGCGGGACTGAGCGTGCAGCCTGTGGCTCTGCTGCTGAGGAGTAAGAAAACTCCCTCCACGTGCACAAGCAGATCCACCTTCCACTTTCATCTTGTTCCTGAGAAAATAGTCCTCAATGAAGTTCTTCGTATGAGTTTTCTCTGACTTGTATTAGAAAGTGCCATTGTCCCAGTAGCATTAGCGTTGTGAAATAGATACACTAAAGGACAGTTTTTCTTAGAAAAGTAAAAAGGCTGATTAAATAAGGACAGTTCTTTAAAAGAACTATTGTAGGACATCTCAGTTTTAAAAACATTTTTCTGGTGAATTCTTAATATGCATGTTTACATAAATGTTGGTTAATTTTAATGTTTCTTTAAAAGAAATTCAAGAAAAAATTTATACATCCCATCACCTTATCAGAGTGACTTGTGTTTGTGTCAATTGCATAACCTTTACAGTAAGAACCTTGTTTATGTTGAGTTACTGCACATGGAGGGACTGATTGTGATGTGTGCTCCTCAGGCTCTTGCAGACCAGTTTGAAGACAAGACGACGTCTGTACTGGAGCGTCTGAAGGTTTTCTATTGCTGTCAAGTCCCACCTCACTGGGCCATTCAGGTAGTGTCCTTGTTGTTTGTCCCCAGGCGCACTTTGCATTTGGAAGATAAGTGCCTTAGAAAGGAATTGTTTTCAACTTATGTCTGTTTGCAGGTGTGTCAGGGAAAAGAATAAAAGTATCTAGGGATTGTCAATTACTTCAAGTGACTATTTTGATTACAGCAATATTAGACTTTTAAAACATTTTTTAAAGAATTTAAAACTAGATAAACAGAGTCCGTGAAATTAAATAATAGAACCACAGAAGCTTTCATTTTCAAAATACCTTTTAATGTTTATTTATTTACTCCTCACCTGCGGGTATACTTATTGATTTTAGAGAGAGAGGAAGCAGGGGGAACATCGAGGGGAGAGAGAAACATGCTGCATGTGCCCCAACCAGGGATCAAACTGGCAGCCTTTTGGTGCACGAGATGACCCTCCAACCGAATGGGCCCCCTGGCCAGGGCTCAAAATAACATTTTACATTTAAAACACCTTGAAGGACTTTTCTGCCAAAGAACGAACCCCTGAACCAATTTGTTTAATCAGAAAGTAAGAGACAGCATTGACTTCATGCTCTGTGTTGTGACATGCCCTTAACTACTTTGTTCTTTTTGAGGACCTGATATTACCTAGTGCAGCTCCTGACGGCTTATGTTGGGGGTGAGATTCTGGCCCCCTGCCCCGTAGTTCTCCTGTGTTACAGGTGTGGTTCCTTGTTTTTAAAGTTTTTTTTAACACTGAAGGTGATTTGGATACCTGGTCCAATTTCTTAGTTTCACGGTAAAGAAGATTGAGGCCTGCTGCACTTAAGTACACTTTTCCAGTGTCGACCAACTTCGATTGCACACGTAGTATGAGGCGTGCATTTTGTTCTGCATCTCACACACATTATCTTATTTTATTGCAACAATTTTGTGAAATGTCCCCAGTTAACAGGTGAGGAAGCTATGACACAGAGATGTTAGGTGGAGTCAAATGGTGCCTGCCAGAAATTTCTGGATGACTGAGTACCTGCTGTCACTTGAGCCGGCTTTAGACTCATACATGCCACCCCACCGTTCGCTGACTCCGAACTCCCACTGTAAGGTTTCTTAGGCTCATTTATGTTCTTCAGCACCCGGAACCTAGGGGGCTTATCACACATGAGAATTCACCTTATCTGTTCAAGGTGTCTCAATAAAACATAGACACCTAAAAAGCTCTGCTGTATCATCTCAGAGGAACAGCTTCTTCACAGAGAAAGTTTAACAACTGGACTCTCTGGCATGTTGTTGACCATGACCTCTGAGATTTTTGGAGTGCTTTGTGGTAGATAAATGTGTCAGACGCTAAGCTATTATGGTGACAAAACATGTCTGTTGAGGGTGTAGCTTTTAATCTGTTTCTGAACAGAGGCATTAGGAAGATTAAATACTGTTCAAATAAAATTTAGGCTAAGTTTATTTTATCTGTTTAGGAAGCTGTAAATTTTAGGATTTTTAGGCAGTTATATAAACATCCTTTGTCATTTAGAAATTTAATCATTTTTCTCTATTATAGGAAATAATCATATCTCCATGTATTATTTTTAAAGATCAAGAAGTAACAGTTCAGTTTATTGTAAAAAGAGAATTAGTCTTTGCTGCTAGCTAGCCATATGCTTAGATACTATAACTTTATTTATTTATTAAATGAAATGTTTAGACTACTGAACTACATGAGCATTAAGATTTATTCCAGCTCCCACATGCCATGTTCATTTACTGAAAATAACCAGTCAGATATCCCAAAACAGCCAAATTCTCATATACTTCATAGAATACAAAAGAATTGGACCATCTCCTTAATTTATTTTGATAACATATTAACTTGTAATTTTCAGGTATATTTTCACTTTACTTTCAAATTTTGTTGATCCTAGATTTTCCATATCCATTAGCTTCTTAACTCTTAATATATATTGAATTTTGGAAAAGGAGTAAAAGTGTTTTTAAGAGAAGAGAACGCATTCTGTCCAATATGAGACCATAACTTACTCAAGAACCTTACGTAGTTTTTAAACCTTTCTAGTATTATTTTCATTTCTATAGGAAGAAACACTTGTAAACCTACAATATTTTTAGTTTTCAGTGTGTTTATCCTTCACCAACCGTACCACTATGTGTCCATTTTTATCTGTCAGCAACCGGGACAAGGGAGAGTAATGGGGGGGAAATGGGGACAACTGTAATTGAACAACAGTTAAAAAAAAACCTGGGAAATTAGGTGGTTAAGTTTTTAGAATGTACTTTAAATAAATCTGAGTAGACCTGAGTGAGAAAGAGCCAGAAATGCCCTCATAAAGTACACCAGAGGTGGTAACAGATTTTGTGTCATTTATGTTGACCCCTTGGAGTTTTTATTATTTATTTATTGCTCTATTTATTTGAGATCAATTTCCTTTTTTCACTTTGAGATATTATGACATTTGAATTGTATTAGGGTTTATTTTTTTTTAAATCCTGACCTGAGGACATTTTTTCATTGTTATTTTTTTTTTTTTAAGAGAAAGAAAGGAAGGGAAAGAGGAAAGGAGAGAAATTGGTTGCTTCCTGTATGCGCCCAGACCGGGGATCAAACCTGCAACCTAGGTTTGTGCTCTGACCAGTAATTGAACCTGCAACCTTTCGGTTACAGGATGAAGCTCCAACCAGCTGAGCCATGCTGGCTAGGGCGACATTGTGTTAGTTTTAAGTATACTACATAATGTGTTTATATAGCTGTATATTGTAAAATGATCACCACACTAAGTTTAGTTGACATCCATCACCCCAGTTTTTGTTTTGTGATGAGAATTTTAAGCTCTATCCTCTTAACAACTCTCAAATACGTAATACAGTATAGTCACTATTCTGTACATTATATCCCCAGAAGTTACTTATCTCATGACTGGAAGTTTGTACCTTTTGACCACCTTCACCCATTTCCCCCACCGCTGACCTCCCACCTCTGCAACCACCAGTCTGTTCCCTGTTCCTCTGGGTTCGATTTGTTTAGATTCCACTTACAAGTGGGATCATACAGTGTTTGTCTTTCTCTGTCTCACTTATTTCACTTAGCATAATGTCCTCAAGGTCCATCCATGTCATCACAAGTGACAGGATTTCTTTTATGGCTGAATACTGTTCCATTATACATATCTCACCTTTTCTGTATCCACTCATTCACTGATGGACACCTAATGCTGTTTCGTATCTTGGCTACTGTAAATAAAGCCCTAATGAACAGGGGGTGCAGATGTCTCTTCGAGAGAATAATTCGTTTCCTTTGTATAAATACACAGAAGTGGAGTTGCTACATTATTTGGTAGTTCTATTTTCAGTGTTTTGAGAAACCTCCGTACTGTTTTCCACAGCGGCCGTGCTGATTTGCATTCCCACCAACAGTGCACTAGGATTCCCCTGTCCACATCCTCACCAACACCTGTTGTCTTTCATCTTTTTGACATTTGACAATAGTCATTCTAACTAGAGTTGTAGAAATCAGTTTATTGGTTCTTAGCTGTACAAATCAGAGATGCCATCGTACATAGAATCTCTAGGTGAAAAGTAAATACTGAGTTTGCTTTTTAAGTTCTTCTGAGTTCTTGGGAAGAAATTGATACATTGAGTATTTTGAACAGTTTCTATGTAATTTTTTAATCTGTCCTATAAGGCAAAGGTAAGTATTTGAGTCATTGCACATTCCTAATTAACTGAGGTTGAATTATATAAATTATGCATTTATTACAATAAGCAGACCCTTAAAATGGCAGATTGGATATACCTGCAAATGATATAGAAATCTTCCTTTGCATGAAGAAATGTTCATTATTCTAACTTGATTTTTCTAGCGCCAACTTGCAAGTTTACTCTTCGAGTTGGGATGCACCAGTTCAGCCCTTCAGATATTTGAGAAGCTAGAAATGTGGGAAGATGTTGTCGTTTGTCATGAAAGAGCTGGGCGGCACGGGAAGGTACGTGAGCGGAATTCCGTGTGCTGGCGAGAGCCGCCTGTCTCTGCACGCCTTCTCACCGTTAACCCTGCTTTTGCCAGTAGTTCACTTATATTTCTTTTCTACCTCCCACCCCCCAAAGTCTTTTTAATGTTTTCTTTTTAGTGGTTTCTGTCGGAGCAGGTCATTTTGTGTGTCTGCGTGCGTATGTGCATGTAACAGAGGAAAGCTGGCTAAAGCCGGTGCTCCAGAAGGCGTGTTGAAGGCTTTGAAGACACTTCACATTCTGATCTCCCTCCTTGAGGGACTCTCCTCCTGTGGGGCAGCTTCACAGTGAGATACTGGGGATTGTTTTACTTGCCCCGGGGTGTCTGGTGGTCAGAGGCTGTGGCCTGAAGGCAGGTGATCTGGGAAGGCGGGGCTGGCTGTGTCTGCGAAGAACATCCAAACGGTGTAATGACACCACCCCCCCAGGAGAGTTGTTAGGTGTGTAATACACACTTAGTTCTACCGTAGGCTGGGTCAAGAGGGAAGATGTTGCAATAGTTGCATCTATTGTTAATGTATTGTTTTTCTCCTAATAAATGAATAGGATTTCAAAAATAAGGGCCTCTGTATTGTGAATATCAAAACTGACATATTGAAATCATCTGTTCATTTTGGGTTAAAATTTTAGATGACTAAATTTCTGCCATACATGCAAACTGAGTGAAACCCCCAAACCGGGTCATTCATATCTACAGCCAGCCCTTCCCCATCACCATACAAAGGAAGTAGCAGTTCAAGGACGTGTGTGCCCGTTTCTTAAATCCCTTCTAAATCGTGTCAGTTGCAGACCAGCAGCAAAACTTGCATGTCTTTCAATCATCGCTAATGGCACGGAAGGCCCTTGAATTGTATTGGCTTAAGGGGAAACTAGTTTGGGAATTATATTTTACTGTAGAAGATATATAATTACAATATTTTCATCCTGGGAAATAGCTCCATCCCCGATTTTTCCAAATAAGGACAGGCATTTCTAATGATTTGTCTCAGGTCACAAAGCCAGTTATTGATCATTAACTGGAGACGTCTCGTGGCAGAGTGGCTGAAAGCTCAGCCTCTGGACCCGGGCTGTTGGGGTTCCACTGCGGGCCAGTTACCCGTCCCTCCCTGGCCTCAGTGTTCTCATCTGGAGGCACGCAGTCTGTGACCTTCCAGGTTTCATGGTACAATGTATGTAAAACACATAGGATGGTGGCTTCCTCCTGGTGCTCACTGAGTGTTTGCTGCTATTACTGTTGCGGTTCTAAGACATCTTTCACATTTTAACGTCCCCGAATTTGGGTTGTGCCTGACACTTGATGGCCCCACCCAGCTGCTGTCCGTAGTAGGGGAGTGGCCTGGCCCGCTGGCATGGCCCACACAGGTGCAGGCGTCCTGGCAGCCATGTTTAACGCCGTAGCTTCGGCTGTGCCATGTACACAGTGTCAGTACTACCGAGGGCGGATAACTGCCATTGAAATAGCCTTCAGAGAGATTCCATTCCCCAGTGAAGGGCAGAAACAAAGCCAAGAGATGTGAATTCGGTATTAGGGAAGTAAACACTTGTTACTGGAGAAATCGTCGCAATTCCACTGACTTTTCCTTGAAAACCACTGCGTGCTTCGTGGGAGCCAGGGAAGGGCAGCACCTCAGAACAGAATATGTGCCTCATCCTGAGATGATAGGTAAAGGCTGCCATCTAAAACGTCTAGCACTGCATCAAACAAAGGCAGGAAAAATCGCCAAATTCATCTGAATAGATTGAAAAAATATCAAAGCAGTATGAGGCTGACGTGATTCATTCAAGGCATTATGTCATAATTTAATTGAAAGCATTTTTTCTTTATTAGGTCAGAGTTAGTTGTACAGCTGATGGCATCCCAAATTTGATGAAATGCAGTATTATGTTTCTTCAGGGACTTAAACGTTTTGTAGAGCTCATTGCCTGGCACTGAAGGAGTACTCAGATGTTTGTTTAACAAAGGGGTGAATGGCTGAATGAGTGTCCTGACCTCACCCTGCCCCCCCAGTCTGATGTAGTTCCCATTCCATCATTCTTCAGTGTGCTGGTCTTTTACGTTGGTCGGTCAACACAAATGATAGCGTACATAAAAATATGGCAGCTTTTGAAATAATTAAGCAAGTTGGTGAATCACAAATACCCAAAGCTGATTTTGAAATATTAAATTGATTTAATAACTTTGAAATATTAAATTGATTTAATAACTTTAGAATGTATGGAAAGTAGAGACTTTCTCTAACTGCGGAGGAAAAATTGTAATGAATCCATCCCTTTTCAGATCATAGATTTGACCGTGTCCCCAAAGTAGTTGCGGCATTATGTTTTCTAATTTGCACATGACCTTGTGAGAAATGTCATAATAATGATAAATTTTCATGTTTGCAATTATTCCAGAAAATGTACATATTTTAATTTTTAGGAACATTTAGTTATTTACTTTGTCTTAACTCTTTTGTGAGTTGCAGCCAAACATTCTCAAAGTCTTGATTTTAAAGGTTGATTTTAGCATTTTATTTGCTACATAAAAGACTTCCCTTACCTGTTTTTCTTAACGTTGTATTTGCAGATTGGTTTACCAATAGACCCTAAAAAGTTTTGCTTCAAGTTGGAAGCAAATGTTTCATTTCTAAAACAGCTCATATTCTTTTAGTGTTTGGTCACATGCCGGCAGTTGTCACTACATTTCGACTTAACTAGAAGTTTATGACATCCTAATTATTGAGTTTAATGCTTAATGGCATAATTTCTTTTTAAAAGGAAAATTCTGAAAAGTACCTAATTCTGATCATTGTTTCTGATGCTCATGTTTGCACCTGCTGTTGTAGGGTCTTAGATTCTCTAATTTAGAAATTATCTATGGAAATTCTCGTTATTTAATGACCATTGGCAAAATAGCCAAAATTAATTGTGCTTGACTGAGGGATCAGACCTGGTTCTCATCTGTTAGCATTTAGTCTTTAAAAGTTATCTGGCACATAATAGCAGCTTCTCCAGGCACATGGACAACTTCTTATTTTGCTGAGCAGATCTGGTACTAGACAGAAAACAGAGATGGAGCCGGCCGCCCCGCGGTGGCTGGTGGCCGGAGGGGCAGGGGGAAGGGAGCGGAGAGAGCTGGGCTGGGACTGCCCCCATTCCCTCTGGTTCCTGACAAGCAAGGGGCACCTGAGATCACAGGGCCTGGCCTGTTCTTTCATTACGCTCCATTTGTAGCCGGGGGCTCTGAAAATACCTTTCTCTGAATTGCAAGTCAATGTTTTCAACATTTAACATTTTTAGCAGCTGAGATTCTGTTAGCAGTTGGTTTGGGTTTTGGTATTTTTCTTCTTCTAAGATCATTTCTTTATATGACTTAAAAGACTTCCCACAAGTTATTTTCCCGCAGCACAGCCAGCGTGGCCTTCCGAGAAGACAGCTGGTCGTGTCGCTCCCGCGCTCTTCAGCAGCTTCCCTGTGCCCCCAGGACTAAGTAGAGGTCCTTGCGGGAGCAGAATCCTTCTGTGTGGCCGCCACCACACACCACTTCACGGTCCGACTCCTGCTCACAGTGCTGGCTGCGTGGGCCCCGCTCTTTCTCTCCGCTCCGCCCTTTGGTGTATATGCTCATTCGAGTTGTGTGCGGAGTTTCGGCAGGGCCAAACCACTTGTGACATCTCGGCTTTGTGTCATTGCTTCAACTCAGGAACTTTGTACACACTCTTGTCTGTGCAGAACCTCCTCCAGTGAACTCCTGCTTATTTCTTCAGGTGTCTCCTTGGTGGTTCCTTTCCACAGTGAGTTTCCCCTGGGGCTGCCCTCCCAGATTTGGTGATATTCTCTGTGTGCTGCTGTGACGCCCAGTACTGTTCTCATTTCCCACTGGCTGGCTTATCTCTCCTGCCAAACTGGGAGCAGTTTAAGAACCAGACTTGTGTCTGTATTGTTTACAGCTGATTCCCAGCATCTAGCACAGGCCTGGCACATAGTGAGTGCCCAACAGTATTTGCTTAATGATGACTAGTAGGTGCTCACTGACTAGTTGCTGCATTGAAACAAATCTCCAGGTAGACACTCCTCATGAACTTCACGTTTGGTGAAGATACCTCTTCAGCCCCTGCCACACACCTATGTATTTGCTTTCCAAAAGCAAATTATGAGATCTCTCTCCTCCCATTTAAGCCTTTTAACTTTAGGAGTAGAAATGGGGAGGTTTCATTAAGAAAAAAAGTTTTATTCTTGCTCAGTAGATCCTAAAAATACTATAAGCATGCTCTTATTACATAGTGCAATTTTTGAATGCCACTAATGTCTACATTCTTTATATAGTTATTTTGTCTTCGTCATATGATATTCATAACTTCCAAAGTGTGAATTGTGTTAGCCTTGTTACATCACGGAGTTTGCAGTCCGAGTTCAGACCTTCCTCCTCTACAAAGCCCACACTTCCTTCCCCACACCTGCCTTTCATTGTGGCTGTTGTCAATCCTTAAAAAAGTAGGTATTCCATTTGTAACTTAAAACCTGTTTTGCTCTTGTGAATGAGTAAAATAGGCAAAATAACAGAAAATACTCCCTAACTTGGTAATACAAACAGGAGATGATCTGCTAATTGAATAACTAGGCCTGTGTTTAATTATTCTGTTTTATCTTGGACCTGGAATATTTATGTTGGCCAGTAGCCTTTGAAAAACCAAGCCCCAGAGCATGGTGCGGTCGCACACATAAGCATAAGAAGTAGTTAGTGAGCAGGCGGCTCGGTGGCCGAGTGGACAGGACTGGCACCCCACCCAGAAGAAGCCGCGCTGGGCGTGACCGACTGGGCTGGGATGAGGAGGTTTGTGCCTTTTACCCTTCAGTTGCTGCTCCTGGAGTGAGAGTGCAGACTGCTCTCTGCGGGGAGGATTGTCCTGGCGGCCGTAAGAGCAGGCGGTGCTGCTCTCCTAGCCCTGCCCGTCGTCCTTGTCCGCTGTGCTAAGGATGTCGGGCACCTTTCCAG